TTGTCTACCTGACCTGGATTTTTCAGGTCGGGTCGGGTCGGGTCACAGGTTGACCTGACCTGATTCGGAGCTCTAATGATAATAAATCATTCTAAAGGAATAATGAATAAACAATCGTTCTTTTTGAAATAATAATTAGATTATTCCTTAAAAAACAATAATAAATTATTCTTTTCAGAAATTGTTTCTTAAAAATGATAATAAATAGTTCTTTCAGAATGATAATCGAATTGTTCCTTAGAATGATACTTTTTATCATTCTATCAGAATGATTCTTTTTATTGTTCTTTAAGAACGATGCATTATCGGTCTATCAGAATAATTTTTTTTATCATTCCTTTAGAATAATGTATTATCGTTCTATCAGAACAATTTTCTCTATCATTCCTTTAGAATAAAGCATTATTATTCTATCAAAACAATTCTCTCTATCATTCTTTTAGAACAATGTATTATCATTCTATTGGAATGAAACTTCTATTGTTCTTTTAGAACTATGTATATCATTCTATCTGAACAATATTTTTATACTTTTTTTAAAAAAATTTGTTAAATTTTCAGCTCAACTTTGGGCTTGAGTTTGTGCTTAAGTTTTGCTCAACTTTAGACTTGAGTTTAACTCGAGTTATCTCAAGTTGAGTCAAACTTAACTTAAAATTCAACTCAAGTTAAACGAGTCAAATTTTTTATGACTTGACTTAACTCAACTCAACTCAACACATTTGACTCAAAAGTTGGCTCAGCTCATTCAGAACTCTAGCAATATCACATAATTTGCTTAATCAATGTTTACTCTTTAAAATTTTGAAACATTACATGATATTACTAATTTATCTAAAAAATCTCAAATTGAAACTTCAGAATATTATTTCTTTTTATTATAAAGTTTTATTATGATCTCCTCTTTAATAGATAATATAGTTTATTTAGAAACTTACTGCTCAAATTTTTGGTATAGTAAGAATCAAATCTTTTATTTTTCTAATTACTGAAATATAATAACATGGTTTCAGTTATGTTAGATTCTGGAAAATACAAGGTCAATCATTTTTGATTTAAATAATTTTATGATTATTTAAATAGAGATTTTTGTAAATTCTAATTATATGTAATTTTTAATTATTTTTTAATAAAGTTTTTGCAAAATCACTGCATTTAAAAAAAATATTACTTAAGTTAATTCTTATTTAAATACTAATAAATTTAATCAATTAAATAATTATAAATTATAATAAATCAAATAATATAAATTTTATAAATTTAAAGCTAATGAAAAACTGAATGATAAATAATTTAGTAAGATTTATAAATAATCTAATAAATAAAATAATCTAACAGAAAAAAAATAATTGAAATAAATAATTTAAAAAATACAATAGAATCTGAATTAGTTTGAATTATAAATGAAATCTAAATTTAAATAATCATCTATAAAATTTTTGAATTTGAATTATAAGCTGAATTTAATAGAAAAAATCTGAATTTAATCTGAATAATCCTTAAAAAATTGGATTTTTTCTAATAACAAATACATTTAAAATATATATATTATATTTGATACATTTTTTAATATATTATTTGAAATCCCTTTTGATATAAAATATAATAAAATATATTAAAATTTTTCAATACAAAAATCATATTTCAATAATTTTTTACATAATTAAAGAGCTATATTAATTGCATCAACTTCATGCAATATAATTTTTCATGTATTTAATTCATATTTATTTAAACATATTCCTAATATAAAAAGATCATAATCAAAAATATCATAGCAGAAATACAGTCAAACCTCTATGTAATGATACAGCTATTTTGAGAAAAATATTAGTATATCAAGTTATCGATATATTACAAAAATTTTATGTAATGATATTACTATATTATGTTGATCAATATATAAAATAATAAGCCATCTAGTGATTGGCTGATCATAATTTGATGTATATTAGCTTATTAGATTCATCTAGTTTCGGGGATCGAATGGTAGATTTTTCATAAGAAATGGGACAGTACTCTTTATTTAGATTTTTTTATATAATAATTATGTAATATGATGACGTCGATTTCGACCATTTTACAATATTGATTAATTTTGGTTTATGTTTAATTCATACTAATAAATAACTAAATTTATACTAAATTTTTTACAAAATTTTAAAATATTACATAATTTATTATAAAATTAATTAATATAAAATTTTATATATAATCATATCAATAATATTTTTACATATAAGTAATTATAATAATAAATCCCTTAGTATAAGCACACCTTCATATAATCACACCATTTCATGATCCCGAGGGGTGTGATTATAGAGGGGGTCAACTGTATATATACTGTATATCAAAATCTATAGCTTGCTACAAATAAAATGTTCTTATGCATTACCTTAAAATTTAGTGCCGATCTTTCTCGGATCATTACTTAAATTTATTTTGTATTATGTATAATTATTATTTTTCATATAAAATATAAATTTAATAAATAAAAATTTTACAGGCAAATTTGCATGCTAACAAGGGATAGTGATAGTTGGTCCGAAGGACTCTATACTTTGCGCTTTATTACACGAGACGTCCGGATGTCCGCCCGCTCAAAAATTGAAAATTGAGACGATACGAGATTAGTCCCTTTCGTTACTATGTGCTCGTTATCGTTATATAATTATTTCGGATTTACTTTTTTAATATATTACTTGAGCAATCTTTCATAGAAAGTAAAACACGTGGCAAAAATATATATATATTTTTTCCTGACAAAACAATGTGAATAAAAGTGATATTAGTGAACAAACATCAAGCAATTTCCATTATTTATTCTTCGCGACATTATTTAACAAAATCATCCTTATATATTTTTATTCTTAAAATTTCTAATTTTCATAAAGGAATGCTTTTTTAGGAGCGAAGCGTAAGACTATATATGTTAGGACCGCTCAAAAGCTGAGTCGATACATGATTGGTTACTTTCATTACACAAGCTCAATCTTTTGATAAATTTAAAGAAAAGAAATAAATGTATGGTTCTAAAATACATATTGATTTAACAAAGGCAGTTCAATAATCAACCATTTTTTGAATTACTTTCATCGTCATCGTCAATGAAAGAAGCAAACAATTAAAACTTTTTTTTTCTCGATTCAAAAAAAAAGGTTGCTAATAGATTTTAATAACCCCCTCTCTTATATTTTCTGTCAAACATTATACCGTATATTCATTTTCGCTTTTTTCCCTTCAAAGATATTTACCAACTTTTTTTCAACATAGTTACTGACTTACGGTTTCACGAAACCGTTCCCTAGTTATAAATTTTTTTAAATAATATCACTAAGTCTAAGTGCTAAAAAATAATATCACAAAATAATTCTCATTTTCAAAAGTTCTCTTTATCGTTATTGCATAATAGAATACGAGAGCATTTTTTCAATCTTACAATTTTAACTTATAAAGTATTAAATTCTACTCCTTTAATATTTAGTCGTTTAGTTCACAGAATAGATTACATGATGTCCGATTATGAGTTTGGATTTGATCATGAACCAGAACAACAACAGGAGCCACGTAGCGTCTTCGTTGACGTGACCAAAAAACTCCAAGTAAGCCGTTTGATTACAATATGTCAAAGTAAATGTTATTATCATTACTAGATATTTAAAAAATTTCTATTTAAATACTGGTAAAGGAAGAAGAAATAAGACGCTTAAGGAAGCAAACTGAAGAATTAAAAGAAGAAACTTATGAATTACGTGATGAGAATAAAAGATTAAAATCACAAGTACTCTCTTTTGATAAAAAATTAAGACGATACGTAGAGGATATCGATGAATTAAAATCAAGCGTACGTTTTTTTTCTTACTTGAAAAACAGACTTTATCGATTACAATTTTTAATTATATTATCTTTACAGCAAAATGAAGTTGAACAGCTAAAAGAAAAGTATGAAGAGTTAAAAAAAGAGAATACAAAATTAATAAGAACTCAATCATCACAAGTACGTTGTTCGCAATGCGAATTAAATATATACACATATATTTTTAATTATATTTCAAATTGTCTAAATTTATTTTATAATCCTCAGCATAAATCACAAGTACACCTTCTATTTCTTAAACTTTCGTTTCCCAACATTTTTTTTTTTTTTTAAAAAAAAAAAAACATTTTAATACAGAAAGATATCAACCTATTAAAAGAAAAGGTCGAAGAATTGAAAAACGAGAATAGCGCACTAAAATCACAGGTATATATAACGAATCTTCAGAATACACACAGAGTTTTTCGTTTTTCTACGTTACGTATTAATTCCTTTCAATTTTATTTATTGTAATCACTTTAATTAGTCGTTTCTCATAACAAATCGCAATAAATCTAAAGTAACAGAATTGAAAAAGGCCCTAGAAACAGCCGTAGAAGTTGTAGATGAAATCCTATCAGGATCAGATGTAAGTTTAAATTGAACTTATATTTTAATAGTATTATGGAAAAAAACGTTATCTTGTATCAATTAATGATTTGACGATTTATTTCATTATTTTTATTATTATATCAATTTTACGGTTACGCAAACTTTATTGATTTAACGATGGTATAATATATGTTCTGTATAAAATCTAACCCCATTTATTTTACAAAAAATTAGTATTCAAATCGATTAAATCCACCCGGTACTGATGGTATATAGCCTGATAATCGTTAATTTCGTTATATTCAAAATATTTTATCGGTCTAACAAAAACTTACACAAATCAATTTACCAGATAAATCGAAAACTAGACGGTCTCCTAGTAAGACTCGTCATGATTCGAGTTTAGTTGTATGTGTTTATATTTTTAATATATACCAAATTTATTTGTCTTATAATTCTTATTATTTCTATATTACTTTATTTATTTTTTAGGCTGGTCAAGAATTCAGGCCATCTGATGTAGAACAAGTAACAGATGTTCCAAGTCAGCGTCGTTTTACTGAAGTACCAACTATAGCAAATTGGAATGAGAATGGACCAGAAACTAAAAGATCACAAAATAACAATAACAAATTTCGTGGCCATCGTAGCCATAATAATAATCATCATCAAAATAACAATAATCACAACAACAATCACAACAACAATCACAATAATCACAACAATAATAATAAGGTGATGATTTAAAAGAAAGCAACTGATATTATATGCGATATTAACGCAATTTTTCCCTTTTTTTTTCACAAGTTGGATATATATACGATTTTCATCTCATGGCCTGGTACTATGAGACTAGAACAATTGCGTGAGCTATTTGACAGAGAAGATGTATGTATTTTTCTCCATTTTATTGGTTTCTTCAAATTTGAGTTACTAATAAACTTAATCACTGTTGTATAATAGGTTGAAGATATCCGCTTCATACCGCAGAAGACATTTGCTCACATTGATTTCAATTCTGAACATGCATTCAATAGAGCTATGGATCTTAATGGAACGGTATTAATAATATATTTACTGTTTAAAACTTACCTTTGAGTTGTCATTTTGTTTAATACATATTTATTATTAATATTAATAGAATAAGAATGAATCGGGTCCATTACGGGTATCCCACGCTAGACCTCGTTAATAAAAATATAAAACCATCATACGTTTTTTTGCAAAAAAGATCAATGAACATTATGACGATCTTAATGTATCAATCAATTAATATTTTAAAATATCTTATTTTACTTTGAAATTTTATTACATAAATTTTTATTGATTTTTGAATTTAAATAAAAATATAATTAAACATTCAATAAAAACTAGTGAATTAAAAATTATATTTAGCATATAAATAAATTTAAATTTTTTTATTAATTTTCTTTCTTTTACTATGATTTTTTAAGTGTACACCCCCTGGAACCTAAAATAAGCATGCATTTATAGAGAAATTATTTTGAATTATTTTAGTATAATTATCCAACAAGTTCTTTTATTAAAATAATCTATTATGAGGATAATGGAAAACAACATGAAAGAAGTTACAATTAAGCAATTATCCTTCAAATGTTAAATCTACACAATGTAGTAAAAAGAATTCTACTATTTATAAAATTCCAGAAAAATATAAAGTAGAAACAGTTTTGGAAAATGTTTCAACTATTTATAAATTTAACTATCTAGCTAATAGAAAAATTAATTATTCAATTAAATGGAAAGACAATAATAATATATCTTAAATTATTTCAAATAATCAATCATTTTTAGGTGTAATAATTGATTTTTATTTTATATTTTATTAAGATAATTGGAATAAAATCTAGTTTTAAAGTTTCAGAAGTATTATTATTTAGTTTTAATATATACACTAGCCTACAAAAAGTATTCAGATTTTTTTTTATTTATAAAATTTACATTAAAATTTATAATTTTTATCTACATATATATATTTTTTTTATACTTATTAATTGACAAATAAATTTTATTTTATTAAAATATAAAATATAAAGCTATTATACAAAAAATATTATAGCTAAAAAATTAATACTTAGTATAGTTACCTTTGGCTTTGATTATAGCTTTAACCTAATAAGTATACTCAAAATTAGGCGATGATATGTTTCAATAGTGATTTTTTGCTATTCCTCTTGTACTGCTCCAATTAACTCCTATTTAAACTTAAGTAAAGGCTTTCTTTTTCGAACATAATAATCCAAATAATTCTACAAATTTTTGATGGGATTTAGATTGTGGCTTTGTATCATTCAGTCTAAAATAAAAATACTATGTGTTCTTATCCACCAAACGCTATAAATTGAAGTATAATAGAATGCTTCATTTTGTTGAAAAATAAAGTTAAAGTAATTGTCAACCTATGGGATAAAATTATTGGCCAGGATATTTATATATTCATTAGAATCTATGTTTCCTTTCATCACAACAAAAAGACCAACCTCATACCAACCAAAACATTTCTAAAACATTACTGATTCTCCTACAAACTTAACTGTAGGCTGAATACAATCTTTATAGTATGTTTTTCTAGGATTTTTCATACTCTTACTCAACCATCTGATTGAAAAAAAGCAAATCTTGACTTATCTAACTATACTACTTGTTTTTATTCCTCTATTCAATTTTTTTCTTTAAATCAATTTAAATAATTAGTTCGATATTTTGAAATTAAATGAGATTTTTCGGGTAATATAACTTCTAAGACCTTCATTATGAAGGTAACTTCTGATTATATTATAGTATACAGTTGCATCAAGACTAGTATTAGTTTGTTTATTATATTATCTAAAGGAAAAAACTGGTCAGTTCAAATAATACATTTTAAAGTTTAAGTATCACATTCATTGAGTATTTTTGGTCATCCAAAATGTTGTCTGGATTCTGAAGAACCAGTTTCTTTATATTTTTTATGATATCACTATCAGAATATTAAGCTGAGTAGAAATAATTCTTTGCCTAATACCGCTAAGATATATACTGATAATTCATTTCTGGTTGGTCTTTGAACTTTATTTTTATATATTTAAAATTAAAAGATGAGTAAAAATAAATATTTTGTTACCTCTTTTATCATCTGACTTTCAGAGTGTTATTTTTTATTTCAAATTCAACAAATCAGATCTAAATTCAAATTCAAATCTGACAGATTAAATCAAATCTAAATTCAAATATGATCTGAATCTGAAAATTGAATCAAATCAATATTCAGATTTGAATTTAACTTGAATCTGATAAATTCGATTCAATCTGATCTGTCAAATTCAGATTAAATCAGATTTTTTGCAGAACACTAATTACTATTAAAGAAAATGTTACATTGTAAAATTGTAATAAAATATAAATTAATAATTTAAATATTAAAAAAAAAATACAGTTTTTTTAAAAGTTAAATTTCATCTTTTTATGACTATTAGATATCAAAATATCTTTGATTTATTTATAATTTTAATAAATAATTTTATGTTAACTATTTAAAAAAAATAATTTAATTTAATATTATTATTTGAATTATTTTTTTTAGTAACTTATATAAAATTTATTATTTATATATCATTTAAGTAGGGACCAAATAGGATATCTTGAACAAAATTTCCAAATAGTATACAGTAAGTTTTCTGACTATCCATGAATCAATTCTAGTTATATGAATCAACTATTTAATTTAAGCCTTCTGTGCAATTTGGCTCAAATCTAGATAATTATAGATATTAATATTGAATTTAGCTAGGAATTAGCCTATCTGATACCAAGAATTACACTGTTTAATAAAGACATTCTAACCCAATTTTAATTTCAAATAATACAGTAGTTTTCAAAAGAACACAAGTAGAGTTGCTTGCTTTTAAAAGCTTATAACACACTAATTACGAATGCTAGAAATCAGTGTTCGTCAAATGATTATAATTGGCAAATGACTCAAATGACAAATGACAAATGATCTGTTATTTCAATTATCAAATGATCAGTCATTTTAATAATTTTTAAATATAGTATATTTTATAAATTTTTATTACTTACTTTATTTATTATAGTATAAATAAATTAAATTTATTAAAATATTTAATTATATATATTAAAAAAATTATTTCATATTGGGCAAATATTTTATATAATATATAATAGTATATTAAATTATATTCAAGTTTCAAATGAGTTAACTCAAATTATGATCAGACAAGTCCAGTTAAGTTAAGTTAAGTGCTAAACTTGAGCTAAAAATTGAATAATATTTTAGTTTCATTCAAAATAACAATTAAAAGTATCATTCCAATAGAACGATAAAAGAATCATTCTAAAGGATTAAAAATATCATTATGATATAATAATAGCAAATCATTCTAAAGGAATGATTAAAAGTATTATTCTAATAGAATGATAGAAGAATCATTCTAAAGAAATAATTAAAAGCATCATTTTGAAAGAATGATAGAACAATCATTCTGAAAGAACAATTAAAAGCATTATTCTAATAGAATAATAGAAGAATCATTCTGAAGGAACAATTAAAAGCATAATTCTAATAAAATAATAGAAGAATCATTCTGAAGGAATGATAAAAAGCATTATTCTAATAGAATAATAAAAGAATCATTCTAAAGAATGATAAAAAGCATAGTTCTGATAAAATGATAGAAGAATCATTTTAAAGGATGATTAAAAGCATCATTCTGATTAAAGATGGACAGCAATTGATTTCAAATTTACAAAATGTTGCAACATAAGCTAAAATTAGTTGTAACATATGTTGCAACATTATAAGTTGCAACATATATAGGTTAAAACTAATTGCAACGTAAGTTGCAATATTAAAAGTTGCAACATATTAATTACAGTTCCCATCTTTAATTCTGATAAAATAATAGAAGAATTATTCTAAAGAAATGATTAAAGTATCATTCTAATAGAATGATTTTTTGTATTGTTTTTTTTATGAAAGACAACTAAAATAGGAATTTTCCAAGGTACAATTTGGAGTTTGAGATTACAAGTATTATAAAATACTCCTCAAAAATTACCTGTGATATAATATTGATCCTAAATTTTATCATTTATAGTCAGGGTTGAGAAGTACAGTGTTAGTACAATGATTAGTACAGTTAGTACAGTTAGTATATTATAATAATTAATATAAAAATTAGTACAAGTACAGTACAAGTACAGTGGTAATTTTATCTAGTACATACAAAATT